GACAAGGTGGCTTGATATGCCCATCCCACCAAGAACTTGCCACAATTTATTATGATCCACACAGTCAAAGGCAAAAAAAAAAGTAGAGAAGGTAAAGTAGAGATAGTCATAACTTGGAGAAGGAGATCTTGATAATAAGTTCATCGCTGGTGGAAAAGAGAACTGAGCAATTGCCTTTCCTCCCATGTCCTTTCTCCCCTGCATTTGCCATCACTTGGCAAGGTGCCATATTCATCCATAAACATGTGAAAATGGTCGTTGGGAGACAAGACAACCTGTGTGGGCTGCTTTCATGATAGGCTGCCCGGGAAACAGGAAGGCTTGTTAAATTCCCATGGTGGGTTTTTGTGTCTTGTGTTTCACTTTGTTAGTGGGTGGGCCAGAAAGTATGGGAAGGGAAGCGCAAGGGAAGAATCTGGAGACAGAAAAAAATCAGCACTAAGCCCATTTTTCAAGTAATAAATTACATTATTGGAGCTGTCAAGAGATCTGTTTGTACCTTTTCCTCTGCAATTGTTTGTAATATAATCCACAGAAAAACAGAAATGACCACGGTTTCTTGCAGAGGAATCATAAATGTTTTTCTTTCCTCACAAAACTCTTTCACTTGGAGATGATTTTATTAACAGATTAACCTTGGCACTTTTCTCTCTGGTCTCTTTAGCATCCAGTTAACTGGTGAAAAGCCTTCTCCCCATCCCTTTTGACATTGCCTTCTTTTCCCACTCTCTCGTGTAATACACTAAAGATCGTCCAACTGCATACTTTAATAATTTCTCCCACTGCAAATGAATGAATTGGAACTGGAACATATTTTCAGTTGGTTAAAAAAGGAGCAGAATGCCATTCACACAGATTTTTCAGTAGTCCAGACTGCTTTTTCAAAGACAATGTAAATAAACATTCTTTTTTTGTTTTATTCAAATAGATGTAGCACCAAGTAATTATGGACATTGTAACCAAAAGATAAGGCCCAATCTACCTAAAGTTGAATACTTTTAATTCTCACTGATTTCAATAAGAGAAATGTACAAAGATGACAGCACTGAAATAACAGTTCACATTTAGATGAAGGGAGTTGTTCATGTAGGACTGGATTAACTCTGTGAAATTAATGCATTGTGACACCACCTTTAATGCTGTACAACCATGGAAGCTGTCATTTTACAAAGCCTCTGGCCTTCTTTACCACAGAGTACTGGTCTGTCACTAAACTACAGTTTCCAGAATTCCATAGCATTGAGCCATGACAGTTAAAGTGATATTAAACAGTGTAGATATACCCTATAACACAATAATTCTGAATACTGCACACTTACTTCAAACCATGTGCATGAATAACACATCACAGAGTGAAATTGCTCTGTAATACTTCAGTTGTAGATTGCATCAACAAATTGTACTATGTACATGCACACATGTAACACTAAAAATGTTCATGAGAGAGTACACAAACCCACATTTTGAGCCTGAAATTGGTATGTTCCAAGATAGCTTTGCCATTTGATGGGTGTGTGACATACAGCATAGTTTGGATGTAAACCATGGAGTTGCCTTCCTGTATACAGCTCCCATAAACCTTACTCAGCACAGATTCTTCCAAGCATGTCTGAGAGGAGCACATGCACTATTGTTCTCTTTTCTAGGAGATTTCCCCCTCTGTCATGTCTTTGAAAAGCAGTCTAGACATTATGCCCCAACATGACATACAGGAAACTCTGATGAATGATCCTGACCCCTATATATGTTGTGTGGCTGCTATTTTCCAGTGAATTGCTTCATAGCACAACTCAAATCACTATGTAACTCACTAGAGTTTAAAAGGCAGTTTTGAGTTTTGTGAAGCAACTTCTGAGAAGAAATTCTGAGTATGTACACAGAAAAGGAATATATACCCATTGGCCCTCAACCCAGTCTAATTTTTATTACTGAATCTAAAGATGAATCACAAAGTTGGAACCACAAGGACTAATCTCCTACTATGCAATAGAAAGTCAAAAGTTTTACAACTACTGAATGTCCTTTCCCTCATTTTTTAAGCATCACAAACTGCATAAATCATGATACAAGTTCATACACCATTCCCTTGGTGTATTATGTTTACGTGGCTGAGTTACTGTGTTGCTCAGAGTTATTTGTTATCCTGTAGAAGCGGATGCAATTATTTGGGGGAAATGCTGATTTTACCATTTACTTGCTGTTGGTCTGCAGGCTGGGATTGTTACCATAAATCATATATGCCTCAATGTGTACCCAGTATGTGCTGCTTACAATAGGAGGGCTAGCTAGATGCACATTTAAGAGTGGATGCTGTCTTTTCCATTTTATGGGATATGACTGCATTACCATTCAAACAGCCCACTAGCTTGCCCCAGAATTAATGCATCCACTTGCTTTATATTCTTCCTTACCCTCCCCCCAAAAAAAAGACTGTCAGGTTGAAATAGACAGCAAAGGGCCACATTTGTCTGATGCTAACAGCGATATACTCTGATAGGCATTAGAAATGCCTATTATAGCATCCCAAACTCAGACCAGTTCCATGGATCTTATTTAAAATAGGTGTTTGTTAAGGAGCATGCACTTCAAGATCCTTGACTCCTAACCCCATGCTTTGTTAGAAACCAAGCAATTCCCTGTATCACTCACTTTCCAAAATCACATTATCTTACAACTTTGTTATTTTTAGTACTCAAGACAGAAATGAATATGATGAGAGCACAAGCAGATAAACTCACCTCTGATGAGTAAATTAATATGAGCACAGATGAAAACTGGTTATTAGTCACAACACTTTTTGTGGAATAAAATGAAGAGTGTTAGGACTGCAATCCTGGGCAGAATTTATTAGGAATAAATCCAAAAGGTAAAGGTAATCTTTGCTGAAAATCTCAAAGTTCACAAAATACTGGACAAGCTTCCAGGTTCTCTAGAACTTTCTTCAACTGGCAAAGAGCAAAAAGAACAAAATTATTAGTGGGATTAGGAGATAAATATAAAAAGTCCCCCAAAACTGTTTGCCTTTATGTCATACAGTTACACATTGACATCACGTTGACAACAAAATCCCTCTATCAAAAGATCTGAAAGAAATTTCCCAAGAGTGTTCCACTGATCTTATATTAAGGGAGTCTTATGTATATTGTGTCTGTGTTTTTTTTAAGTGACTTTAATATTAAGTTATTATTTATTTGTTCATTCATCTCAACAAAAGTTAGAATCTAGTGTATTAATTTAACTTGTAAAGGTCTTATGGATGAAAATTTTGAATACATTGGCCACTGTAATTACAATTTTATATGTAAAATACATTGATAATTATCTAAGAGTAATGTTTAGATTTTGATCCTTGATTTACCTGGTGCTATTATCTATCAAGAAAGCTTTTGTCATTGCTACTGGCATCAACCCTGTTTCATATTAGGAGCTGCTCCCTGTACTGGAACTGTAACCCATAGAGAATTTAGGACTACTGTATTTATTTTCTCCCCATCCCTTGATACCCATTGTGCATTTTCTGTGTTTTGTTTTTGTAGTGTAAAGGTACAGGAAATTATATTTTTATAGAAAAATAAAAACTGAATAGCAAATGATATTTTGTAAATTCAAGATGTTTCTAAAATTTCTCTTTTCTTGCTGTATGTTGAAACTCTAATCATGACATTTTGGGTGTTTTGTGGTATGCATGGTGGTTCTTTCTAAATACCTCAACATGACAACTACGTATCAGGACCACATGATCTGTTGCTGCCATAATGTTGGCACAGCCTTTCTGTTCTGAAGTGATGAAGACACTGCTGATTTTTGATATTTGTCAAAGGCATATGAATCCATGCCAATGTCCAGTTCTGTAAGCTGTGGTACCCATATGATTCAGATTTGAGCCTGAATCTTATTGGTAGTCCCTCTGGGTCAACTGAATATATATATAAGTATTGATGTACAACTCAATAACTGATGCAGTGGGTCATTCTAATTAGGATTCACCAATAGGATTGCTAGATCTTAAGATCTAGCCCATAATCTTCAGTTTTCGTTACTGTCTCCAGGCAAGAGACAAGGACTATATGCAATTCTCCAGCTCAACTGGTAGAGCAATAGCTTGCTTTAATTCGCAAGGCTTACCTGATTTCTTGTAACAAGTTGGAAAAACTCTACTTTCTCACTAGAAACAAGTAGAAGCTCCTGGTAGCACAATGGATTAAATCCTTGTGCTGGCAGGACTGCTGACTGATAGGTCAGCAGTTCAAATCTGGGAAGAGCGAGTTGAGCTCCCTCTCTCAGCTCCAGCTCCCCTGCAGGGACATGAGAGAAGCCTCCCACAAGGATGGTAAAACATCAAAAAATGGCATTCCCTGTGCAACATAATTGCAAACAACCAATTCTCTCACATCAGAACTGTCTTGCAGTTTCTCAAGTCAGTCCTGACACACACACACACAACCCGTAGAAACAAGTAGATTCAATTACAAATTATACTACCATTTCCCTCAATAAGTGAGAAGGAATACCCCCCCACACACACACACACACACGGTTCACCTTAATCTGTGAACAGTCTTTTAGCTAAGATTTCTGTTTTAATATCCAAATAGGAAAATATGTTCTGTCTGTCTCTGTGCATCTGAATTAAAAGCTATAAAAACATGCTTGA